AGGATAGAAGGGGGTGATATTTTGCCATATTTTTTGCTATGTCTCCCTTTTTTTAAACTAAACCCAGATTGAAACAAAATTACCACTTTTTTCTTCTTTTCAAGTACTCACTGTGTCCCAAAATCCTGATGAAGTCAGTGTATTCATTTTTATTACACAAAGCATAATAATGCATAGTCTTCATTGTTTTTGAGAAAACTGCAATATCAAAACACCCTGATGCATAATGAATTTATATAAAAAGCTCTCGAATTGAATTTAAATAAAAGATGCTATAAGCATTTCCTGATAGTAAATGCATTTTCTTCTGGACTCTCAGTATTGATCCTATGTGTTTTAACAGTTTTTTCCAAGTAAAAAACAGTCTCATTTGCATGCAAATTATATAGTGCTTCCAAATGATACATGTGGAGATCCTCCTCTGCCTGGTTTCCGCTGATTATTGATGTCTGTTTAAGGCTTGTTTTTGTTCCCTATGTTAGCGATGTAGTATTTATTGACATTTTGATGTAGGAAGTCACAAAAAATCCTATCCAGTTAGATTAATTTATTTCTATGGAAGTGCACAGGAAAAACGATTCAATGAACAAAGGCATGAGCAGACATTTATCTCATTTTAAAATTCAGAAATATTCTAGTTTTAGACTTGCTTCCTCTGTGACGTGTGTAAGAAACTAGCCAACTGAGTCATCTTATTATTTCAGCATCTGAAAAAATTACTCCTAACTGTTAAGGTAGCTTGCATCATTCCATGCCCTGGAGTAACTTTGTCATTTTAAAGTAGCCAGCCTCCCTTTAATTCTGATCCTTTCTCATGTACAACATGTGGTGTGTAGTTACCAGCTTGCCAGGTCTGCATCTCATGTCTATTTTGTGTGAAGCCTACTACACCCTGGTTTTGTGAAATAAAAGTGATCAATATTTTTTTATAAAATGTGAATGTTCCATGAATATTCTACCTTTAATGTCACTGATAAATGTAATGATCATTAATACATGTTTTCAGCTTAAAAAAAAAGCTATGTAAGCACAAAGTGTTCATGTAACTAAACATTTAAGATACTGTACATATACTACTGTACATGTACTACAAACTCACTTATTGCTGTAGTAGTAACACAGGGGTTTACAGTTTTGTAACTCAGTTTGTATAACACTGTTTAGTGTAGACTGTATTACTTACTAGACTATACTGTATTCCCTGCCGGATTTTGTCAAGTATTGGAAAACATTTTTCTAATCATGTTTAATACATTGGATAATAAATGAACACAGTAAAGGTAGGATAAATGATTAAATAGAATGGAAGGACAAAGAGATGAAGCAACTCAGAGCTGGGCTCCTGAAGTCCTGTCCACAGCCTGGTCTCCATGCTGGACTGTGCCCTGGTTATCAGGAAAGTTGCAGATGACCTTGGCTCTTGAGTCATGGTAGCGACACGTGGCTGTATCCTTTCACTGGTAGTGGAAAGTATCAATGGCAACAGGAACAGCAGTTACACTGCTGTTCTGGAAGGTGGAAGAGGAGAGTTAGGAAACTGCAGCCCTTCTGCGAGTATGCTAGAAGTTTACCAATGGTAAAACTGACGCAGGGTAACTTTTTGTTCGCAGAGAGGGAAACCAAGTCAGCACTGAACCTGTACTTCCTTTTCGTCTTTAGAGGTGTCCACTTTAGCGCAGCTGGAGCACAGTAGTGAAGCAGTGCAGAAGACTTGCCCAGCCGCTCCCAAAGATAAGTGGAGTACTTTGGACTTCAGGTGTGACTGTCTTTTAATTTATCGTTAAAACTTGCTTCAAGTGTTAAGAAGATATATACTCTTTGATACAGTTTATCTAATTTTTTAATATTTAGCATGGTAACATGTATGATACATCTTTTGGTACTCCCATTTCAAGAGGACAGGGTTCCTCTTTTTCTCAGGTGGTACCACTACTAGTGGTAGCGGCAGCAACTCATGATTATGACAGCAACATTTCAGGACTTCCCAGATCAGGACCCCATTTTCATATACTCTGTCATGTTTT